AAATACATACATACAAATTAGAGAAATTTTTTTTTTTGCAAAAGTGGACTACTTAAAACTTAATCTATTTTACTGGTTAGCAACTTTAGGAAATGTAGATTATTTAAAATTATTATTTCTTTAGATGGATTTTTGTTATCTATAGATCAAATCTACCCTTAAAAGGACTGGATTAGGAAAGATGTGTACTTTCCAATCTGTACTCTGTGCCATTGTTTGTGAAAGAAGATGGCTGCACCTATTCCTGCAGAAGGTGTCAAGTGTAAAAGAGCAGGTACTCAGAATTTCTGACAGAGACAAAGATGAGATTATATGGTCTCATGGCTTGGTAAATACTGCATGATGAGGATAGTTTCCTTACAGTATTCAAAAGGAAAACAACTTTTTTTTTTTCCTCTTCACTTTAGTGAATTACAGCTTTGAGATATTGAAGTTGTTTCTCTTCACTGAATGAAAAATTGGAAACTGAGAGCCTTTAGTGCAGAGCTGTTGTAATACGTGAATGTTTTTTCACACTGTGCACTATCAGTTCTTCCTGGAGATTCTGAGTGATAATGGCTTGGAAGTATCTGTTATCCTAAAACTCCAAAGTGGTTGAGCAGCTGTGTGTTCAGTGTGCAGTTTTAACAGTGGTGCTAATTGCTTAATTGCCATCAAATATTCGTGATTCAGTAAAACACCAGGCTGTTAGGAAAGCCTGCCTCTATTGGTGTCAAGTACTTCTGTGTGGAGGAAAGGAGTCATAGCCTGGATGAGCAAGGCTATAGCTGATGCTTAGAATTTGTTGCTGTTAAATCTGTGCTTAGAGTGCACTATACCTTTTAATCAAAAAGCCTTTAGAAAACAGTAGAAGAGAATACTGTTCAATGAAATGTACTTTGAGCTTGGCCAGGGCAGATTGATTGAGTTTTTAGCTATACTTAGTGCATATTAACTTACTTGAATAGTGTTTGTATTTATGTTATTTGGAGAGAAAATAAAATACTGAAGATTTGTTGCTGTTAATTATACCTGAGTTAATAGTTCAGGTGAAGAGTCAGGAAGTGTCACTCAGTGTTTCCACTGATTTCAAAATTATATGTTAAATCTCTTTACTAAAAATAGGGGGAAAGAGTTGGGATCTTTCAAAGTCAAGTTACTTTTCCAGCAACTACCACTAGCATCTTCCTATCATCTTTTTGCTGTCACCCATCGAATACCAAGCCCCTTGTCTTTTCAGGCAATTCATTTGTTTAAATGAAATCTAGATAAAAATTACTGAAACTAGCATGAAGATGAATCTCAAGCTAGTTTCAGTTTGAGTTTTCTAAATCAGAAAAAAATAAGCTGCAGAAATACTTCAACTCTTAAGGTAAAAATCCTGTTAACTGTTTCTGTCTCTGTGCCTTTGTCTTTTGCTGGTCTTTGCTTTCATGGTTGCTGACACTGCTTGAAAGAGTGAAAGCTATGTAACATTTCATTGATGTGCCACTAAAACTAGGTCTCAGTACATTGAGCTTTATACTATAAATAGAAGCAGATAATGCTAAGGTATATTTATGGTTTCTTGGACATATTCTTAATGGGCTTAAGCAGTGGAACTTAAAGAAGTTAATGTGGTTTGTAGTTTGTTCTTCTGGCGGTGGCATCAGACTGCTTTTTTCAGTGACTCTGGTGACATTCTCTAAGTTGTAATAGCAGAACACTAAAAACTGTCAGATCAGGGTGTTTGGCTTTGGAGGTTGGCATTACAGGACATTCAGTTGCTGTAGTTTGATTTCTCTATGTGGCCCATGTCCTGGCTTCAAGTGCTGTTTTTCTAAAGGTATCTTTTTCTGCTTCACACAAGTCTTGCCATATTGAGCAGTGCATCTGATTTTGTGTATTGCAGTTCTGCTTCACTGGCAAAGAGAGCCTTACTCTCCCATGCTTAGTTTTTTACACTTGTACTAGGAGTGGTCTTGGAAGTTTGAAGTTGTTGAATTAGGTTGGTAAAGTGCATTTATTTTCCATAACGTATTAACATAGAGAAAAAGAAAAAATGTTCTGTGCTAGCAGATAATTTAAGTTAGATATGGTTTTATACATTTGTGGTAAATTTATCAATAATCTGTGATAAAACTAGATGAAATTAAGCTAATAAAGAGATTGTCTTCTATTTTATATTGATGCTTCTTACTTTAGGGACACAAATTCCAGAGCGGTTGGCTTACTTAGTGTTGACACAGTACTCCAGGGCTATCAGACCTGTAAATACTGACAGTAATGACAGGAGGGTGCTGTTTAGAGCTCCATCTTCCCAGGTCCATAGGTAATTTTGGAGGCCTGTTTTAACCAAGTCATGATGAAGACTCAATGTATGCGGTGAAACTTTAAAAAGTGCTTTTTTGAGCTAAGATTGTTGTCATGCTGTTTGGACTGATTCATAATAATTGTGAGATAAATTTTTAAGCTGGGCCTCTGTAGAGGAAAGCAGAAGCTGAGGGATTTCTTCTTGGTTTTTGAAGTATATATGGCATTCCCATTAGCAGTTTAGGTAATCATCTCTGTACTTAGGCACTTCACTTATCAGGAGTGATCTTTGTGCTGTGTTTGTCTAGAATGTCCTTCCTAATGAAAAAATGAAATAATGTACAATTTGATGTATTTTACAGGAATATCTCACATTCCCTTGTATTTCTAGGAGTATTAAATGATGCAAGTGTCAGTAGATAATTTCTGTGCATTGTACATTTAGTGCACTGACAAGATAAAAAAAGGACTGTGTACTGATAAAATGGTAAAGATACCATGTTTTGTTATTGCCATAGAAGTAAGGCGGAATACAGAAACATTGACATGCTTTACTTCCTTCCAAAATGTTTTGGCTTGCTCAAAGAATGTTATCTGGCCTTGAGGAATGGGTTGAATGACACTTGACTTTTGACAAGTCCACTTGGTGGTAAGGGAGAAGTTGTCTGACTGGAAAATCAATGCAATTTTTATACTGACCCACGTCCTAGTTTTGAGCCTGTGCTAGCTGTGGCATGGGAGAAATGTGTGTGCACTCCCACTGAGCTAGGGGCAGCTACAGGGCTTAGCACAAGTCCTGCCTGGGCTATTGGTATGTCTTAGGAGGGGCTGTCATCTTTACTTCCTTTGTGAACAGCTTCATATAATGTATTAAGTGACTCTTTCAAGTTACTGGAAGTTGAATAACACATAAGAAAGAAGTGGGATTTACTTTTGGCTTTAATTTTATGCCTAGTATTGAAATTTTGTCCTTTGGTGTCTTCTGAACATAATGCCTTCATTTTTCTGCCGTGTAAGAATCAAGTAATGATTTTGGGTCCTTTGTGTCTGCTTCTAGTATCTACTTCTGGGATGGCAGAAGTTAGTTTTCTTTAATCCTTCTACTTCACTTTACATTTTACTTGATGACTTCTACTCAGCTATTTTGTAGTTAATAGTCTGTGTCCAATAGGTTTTCTTTTTATATTTTTGATGTTCTCTCCAACCTCGAGAAAGTCATGCACATCACAGAGATAATTGTTTTATTAGCTTAACTGCTCCAAACCTGCAGAGTATTGCAAGATTTTATATGTCTATTCTCAATAAATTATGTAGAAAATGATCTTTGGCTGTGTTGCACTTAAGGGCAGTGGAAAAATCACAGATGTGAATGGATGAAAAAAATGTTAGGGTGACTGTTCAAGTTTGAGAACTAAATTTTGTTTTAGGCTTAATGGCCAAGTGTGTACTAGTAAAGTAAATGGACCTATTGACATGAAGACCAGCTAGAAAAGAAGGAACCTTGTCTGTATGACTAAACTCTGTCAAGAACTGCACAGGAACATCCAGCTGCTGTGGAGAATGATGCCTTGGCTGTGTAAACTACCAAAGTCACGCTGTTTGTTTGGGGTTAGTTTGCTCAGTGTCAGTCTGACAGGTCACCTCTAGAGGCAGACAAGCACCGGTGCCCAGGAGCACTTTCAGGACGTATTTAATGTACTAAATACCATGTAGCTGTTGAGGATGCAGAAAAGAAGCTTCTCTCTAATATGCTTAATGAAAGAATGTGTAAATGCCTCAGTGCAACATAGAGCAGAGGTTTTGAGCTTAATTTATGACATATTTAAATTACTCCAGATTTTACCATATGATGGATGATGTTAAAGTTGCTGATGCCTGGGCTTCTCCAAGTGTTAGGGATGTGTTCTGTGCTTCAAAAATGTTTTTCATAAGGTAGGTGTGAATTAGACTGTTGACTAAGGGATGGTAATTTTATAATCTATGTCCTCAAAAAATTTACTTCTAAATTTTAAAAATTGGTTATTTTGGTTTTGTGAAAGTACTTTTTTTACAGTTAATAGAACATAGAAATAGTAATTTTGGGGGAGCTGTAGGTGTAGTAGAGTTGGATTTGAATGTGAAAATTTGGCACACCTACTTTTTTTTCCTACAGCTTTCATAGAAGAGGAAGTACTCTGAGTTGACAAGCTGAGGTCTTTTCCTGGCAACTTAAAGAGTATCTAAGCTTGTTCATGTGTGGAGAAATGATTACTACTAGTATTTCAGGAGAACAGTTTTACTTTGCTGCAAATGAAATTCTGAGCTATGGCTGGCTAGTGTCAAAAATGTGAAGAATTTGTCATATATTAAAATATTTTGATTAACACAGATTTTTATTAGTGGTGAAAAGAGTAAAAAACGTATAAATACTAAGTACCTAATTTGACTGAGGGTCTTAAACAATTCACCCTTTTTTCAGTTATAAACAGAGTCAGAACAGTGATTTTCATGGATGTTCTTTCACTGCATTGTGGGACAGTGAAGTGCAGTTAAGGCAGAGTTTTGACATTTGACTTGGCTTTGGGTCTTCTGGTGATCTTGAGCTGATACAGAAAAGTGTGAGGGGTCATGTGCTGCTGGCTGTGTATGTGTAGAGGGTCAGGCATGTGATTAGTTAATTCAGAGTGTGACTCATGTTACTGCAGAAATACTGAGTGAACTGACACAGTAACTCTTTGTTTCTCCCCTAGTGTGCTGGAGAAGAGAATTGGGTGGACAGTCGGACTATTTATGTTGGGCATCGTGAGCCACCTCCAGGCGCTGAAGCATACATTCCACAGAGGTTTCCAGATAATAGAATAGTCTCATCAAAGGTACCAATATTTTCTTTCATTCATTTAGATAAATCAGCTGAAGTTATTATTTCTGTTTATTTTTTTCAAGATTTTTCCTAGGCTTCCTGTATATTTTTCCTTTCCACAATCAGCAAAGGTAAAATAAAGATATCTCAGATTTCTTCTGGAAAACCTAATTGCTAATTTGTCTCTAAAATGAATAGAAATAGAATAATTTCTCCCATGTTTACTGTAGTACCTAGTATAGTACAGTCTTTGAGTAATAATGAGCTTTTCAACAAAGAAAAACAACAATTTTCATTTGAGGCAATCCTGGAGTAAATAAAATCTTCCTAAAGAAAGACTGCATCCATTGTACTCAAGAGCAATACCTCAAAGTACTAGAAATAATTTAATTTGTTGAGCACTTAGATTCATCATACTCTCTCTACCCTAAGTGTCATTCCTTTCAAAAGCTCCTAATGTTCCTGTGGGATTTTGTCAACAGTCTTCTTCATTCACATGAAAGTGCATCATACTTAAAGTCTTGGCAGTGTAATACATTTGTGCTGTTTAGAAATCTTCTAGTTGTCCCTTACCTCAGTTAGTAAGTTTTAACTTCCATAAGCTCCAGCAGCTTTTTGTGAGCAGTTGGCATGTTGGTGCTTTCCAGCTGGCTTTCTTTAGCCAAAGGTTTTTACTGCAGTGGCATAGAAATTTGAATGCTTGCAGGTGATGTATGGCTAACAACTCAAGAACTCCCAAGTTTGCAATATACTTAGATTTTAATCTTCATGAGCTCACACCTTCAGCTAATACAAAATAATCAATTCAAAATTATGTCTCCATTACTGAGAATTTGTTTTTGAAAAGTGTCTCAAATCCTCTGCAGTTTTCAGAACCTTGGTAGCATTGTGATTTCAAGGAACTGAATGATTACCCTTGTGGACCTGAACACTTGCCAGCCATTAACATCATGAAAGCCAGACTTTTCACAAATGGTGTGTCAGTTCTCATGTGAGATTTTCTATTTGCTACCTTCTTACCATACTTCATTCAAAGAAAGTGTACTAAGCAGAGTGTAGTATTTAGGCATCTTGAGATAGAATGCTTGAATGCTAAGGCAGATGAAGTACAGTCAGACTGGTACAGTGGCAAATCCTGTGCTCTACACATTGGTTTGTATTGTCTTTTGAATTATGGAAGAGTAAACACACTTAATTTTTGTATTCCTGTGATATTTTTTTAAATCGCATTTGAGATGTATGTAAATAAAGCTATTGAAGTTACTGCTGATAGTTGTATTGAAATAAAAACATCCTGTTCAACTATGTTTTGACATATTAAGTTAGTGGAAGTAACAAGTTGCTTTGCTTTGCAGAGTGAGATTTTTAAAGTATGACTTAAACACGTGTTGAACTAAGGAATCCTTGCCAACAATTAGTGAACATATATGACTTCAACCAGTTCAGGCCAGAGACTTTACTATATTTTTATTTGGATTTACAGCATATTCAATTAAATATTTAAATGTTAAACTATTTAGCTGTGAACTGTATCTGTAAATAACCTTTCATAAACAAAAAGTATTAGTGGAAGTACATTTTATATATATAAGATGTTTCTCAATTTTTCTGTTTATTGATTAAACTTGCCTCATTTAAAAAATAAAATGTAGGTTGTCTTTGTGGAAGTAAATACAGTGGTGATATTTCAGGAGGGAACAGAATTCATGTAAATGCTTTATAATATTCAAGAGTTCCTCAGACTGCTGAAAGCTGTTTGATGAAAGCTGTTGCCTGTATATGAGTCCTTCCTGTGCTGTCCCTTTCAAGTGAACTCTGTTATTCCCACGCTCCATCCCAGACAAGCTGAATAAGGCACTGTTGTGGCTTGACTAGCATTCATTCTGGTTCTGTGAGCTGCTTCCTCTTCCTCTTTCACCTGTCCTTGTCCCTTGCTTATGTATCCTCAGAGAGGGGGCACCTCTTACAGTGTGGGGAATGCAGACATTACATTTCTATTAAATGCTCAAATGTGCAAAATTAAGATGGCAAATCCATAATTGTTAGAGTAAAGGTACATGCTCACAAGCACACTGTATAGCGTTACCTCAACCATGAAGGATACTTCCTTCCCCTTTCATCAGCAAGAAAGACAGTAACTTTCAGCTGGGCTTTTATAGGTGTTTAGTGCTTATGTAAGAAGGTCTGTGATTGCTCTTCAAGGATGAGAAACTCTAAACTTCCAAGTACAGACTTTACCAATTTAAGACAAGCTGAGTTTCTAAAAAGGATAGTTGAAAAGCATGAGGAAATGGCATCAATTTGTCTGTCTGTATGCTGCTTTACTAAGAATGTCATGTCATAATGCCCTGAAAAAGACATCACCTTCAGTAGTGTGAACCTTAGACTTTACTGGTCCTTCCAAAGGTACACTTTGCTATGCTTCACCAGAGGCTTCCTGGTGTCAGCAAGGTAATGCTTTGATTCAAGTGCAGAGGGATAGTTCATGTACATTGCAGTGTCACTGTGGAATGTGGCTAATGCTCTGTCTGCCTAATGATACATTCCTGATGGTGGAAAATGATACAGGGAAGACCTTGCCTAGACAAAAGCGTTCTCCTGGTATGATGTGTTAATTCAATTGCGATATTAACAATGTATTGCAAAAGGTGTATGCTGAAGTAGTAAAAGACAAAAACTCATGTCTTTTGGATTGTGCATGCTGTTCCTTTTACCTTCTACAGACAGTGACCTTTATAACATGTATCCTTTTGTTGATTTAACTTTCAGCTGCTTCAGCTGCCTTGGGTGCTGGCCTTTGAAGTGGCTGTTACGTACCCTTGATTGAATTTGTCACATGACAGTGCTGCAGCGTGGAAAAATATCAGCTAGTAGAAAAATTCCAACGTTTCAAATGTAGAAGAAAGAAAGTAATTGAATGTCAGGGAGGTGGCTTGCCTTTTTCTGAAAAAAATATTCACATTTTGATACTATTTACTTTTTGGTGAATCTACAAATTAAATGGAAACTAAGTTAAACTAGGGAGCCGTAGCAGCTACCAAAACTTGGTGTAAAACAACCTATTTTCCTTCTGAAACATGATTTTACTTTTTGAAAAACAAAATGATAAATTATAAAATAACTTTTTAGTACAAAACTTCCTTAAGGTTCAGGCTTCAGGTTATTGTGCTGAGAATATGATTGTGTATTTAGTGGTCTAATTTCTTCTCTGTGAATCCCTTCAATACCTTTTAAGCCCATGTAAATTCTCAGAATGAAGAACAGTTCAACTGTAGAAATGTTTGCCAAAAGAAACTATGAGCCTTCATTTTCAAACTTCCTGCTAATTTGAGTTAGTAATTTTCAGATTCAAGGATTTGGATTACAGTTATCCCCTGTTTATAATCTTGTTTCTCTTGGTGGTCTTCCACCATATTTCCTTTCCAGGAGGAATAGCCTGAGCCTGTTCAATAACTGTTTATGTAAAAGCTACTCCACTGATTTGGTCTGTCCCTTTTCCCAAACCAGTAGAATCACACACAGATCATTCAGTACATAACAAACTATGGATTTATGTAGTGACATGATGATGTTTTTAGCTTCTTATTAATTTAACATTTTTCAATATCCAAATTCCCTTTTCCTGAAGTTAATCTAATACTTTTCTAGAATTGCTATGCTTCAAGGAGCTAATTTGTTGACAAAGTAGGGATTTGCATTTCTTGTTCTAATGGAAACAATGAATTGAAGACTGATTGAATGCGTACATTTCTCTTGAACAGAGGGAAAAATTGTATTGAAAATAACATCTTTTTTGAACCAACAATATGGAGTTCAGAGGAACATGTTTAATTATAGCTGCTTATCACTTTTGGAAAAGAAACCACCAACCCCCCCCCCCCAACCCCCCCCAAAAAAAAAACCAAAAACCCAAACCCATAAAGAAAACACCACAAGAAAGAGCCAAAGATTTCAAAAATTCCTGGATAGGAGTAACCTGTTTAATGAGAGTCAAGAGAGCTTCCTGTGTGTCAGAGACACCTGGCAAAATTAGAAAATCCATGAAGTTTAGGTAAGAGAACAGATTTCCCCCCATACCACCCCTAGAGCAAGTTGGGTTAAGGAGACTTACAAAGGCTTTTACTCTTCATTTCAGTCTGTGGATAATCAACACACAGTATTTTGCCTCGGTGGTCCTGTCCAGCTGCAGACTTTTACTGTCATAATTTAATAAAGAGAAATTTTACAGCTACAGAACCCACTTATGCCTGGGTCACCAACAGAGCTGGAGGCAGGAGGGCTTATGCTCCTGGAAGATGATACTGAAGAGTAGTGGGATATGACTCTTGCATGAAATGCAAGATTGACTCTACAATGTGCAGAGCTATTACTTGGAGAATTTGCCCTAAAGCGATGTCATTCTAATTAAATTATACATGAAATTATGAAGTGCTCATTTGTGCTGTAGTTTTATTTCCTGTTCTTCCTTATAGAAAAGCAATCAGTTGAACTCAGGTGGGACACCTGGACCACTGTTATTTCCTACTTTGTAATGCTGTATGATGTATTCGTGGATCAGAAGTGATACTGGTATTGCTGCACAAATAATACAGTCTTCAGTTGTCTGTCTGTTTCTTGAGGACTTTTCATTAAATACTGATCCAAACATTGGTTTCTGTGATAGTGCCCTGAGACAATAATGCTGTGTTTTGGGAATCCTATACATTGCAAGGCAAAACTTAGCTACCTTCAGTGCTAATCTGATTGAGATGACTCACAATTAATCACAGTGACTAATAGTTTAATCAAGTTAAGTAATTCTGACATGTTTCAGCAGATGATGTTGAAATATTCCTTTCTTTCAGCAGAAATTCATGCCCTTGTACTGTACCTCTTCCCTGCAGCACTTATACCAGACCCAGTCTTTGTGTGTTTTTATGATTTCTCATTTTGTTGCCACATTTAGAACAAATATTAATACTTATTGAAGCTTAAGGAAATACTAAACCACCTCTATCAAGATGAGCCACTTGG